GGAACTTTGAGCGGCATGATTGCCGATGCCTGGGCTAATCTGTATATTGCAGAAACTGCTGATCTGCTGGGATTTGCCGCACAATCGTCTCTAGGGTTTACAGAAAATGATCATCAAAGGAAAAAATAATTAGTGAGAAGCAGTTATCTGGGTGAAAATGCCTTGTTGATGTCAGAGGTCAGGGGAGAATTGCCAGACTGCTTCATGGTGATAGGAAAGCAATAGTAACTCAAATAATGGCTCATTACAGCCGAGGTATGCAGAAGAGCTTCTCTGAAGGCACAACATGTTGAACCTTGACCAAAATGGTCTACATCAGCGGAAGACCACACTGGGTTCCAACACTTTCAAGTAAGAACAGGAAACTGAGACTACAATTCCCACAGGTTCATTACAATTGGACAACAGAAGACAGGATAGAAGAGAAACCTTAGCTGCTCTGATGAATCTTGATATTTGCTGCTACATTATGATGATAGAGTCATAATTTGGTGTAAATGGAATCACTCCATCCTGTTTTTTATTATTTTTTCGAGCTGCTGGTGGGGTAATGATGTGGCAGATTTTTTTCTCCACAAACTCTGGGAATCCTTAGTATCAGTTGAGCATTGTTTAAACATCACAGCCTACCTTAGTATTACTGATATCACTTCATAACCACAGTATATCCAACTCTGGATGAATGCTGCCATCTAAGATGGCACAAAGCTCAAATCATTCCAAACTTGAAGGTGGCACTGTACTCAAATCGGCTCCAGTGTAATCAGATTTTGAGCCACCTTTGGGATGGGGTAGAATGGTAGATCACCATCATGCATGTGCAGCAAAAAATCTCCATCAACTGTGGCATGCTATATATTGACCAAAACCTTTGAGCATCTTGTCAAAGATACAAATATTTCAGAACGTTCTGAGCGCAAAAGCAAATCCAACCCGGTAGTAGCCAGGTGCAGCTAGCACTGTAGCCTGCAGGGTGTCTAGTGAATGAAGTTTATTTGGACATTAAGCCACACTCCAAAATCTATGAATTGCCTGAAAAAGATACCAAAGTACCAAAAAAAGGGCAGCACAAAAACAGTCAAGCTGAATTCCACTGCCTTATTTCAGTGATAAATGCAGCCTCACCTAACAATTTGTAAGAAAAACAGAACCCTTCAAAGATTACCTTTGGTGCAGTATGGCTGGTACTTTTTCCATAACATATAAACTTTCTAAAGTACCCCTCTCTCTCTTTGTACCCACACTCACTCACTCACTCATCCTTCACTTTGTGACTCTATCTGGCAATCTGTGCTGTTGATTTCAGAAATGGTTTTTACTCTCTTTTCTTTTCTGCTTTTCTTGAGGTTACTCAAAATAACATAACTATCAGTTGCTGGTTTCTGGGTTTGCCCGTCTGCTTTCTCAGTCACAAGTCCTCCATTTTTTCACCTTTCTGACAATAGCCCCCATCTGTGGAGGATGAAAGGTTGAACTCTATTACTTTGTACGAAGTAATAGTGCTCAACCCTTCCCTGCAGTACCTTTCTTTTCCATCTTAGCAGTTGTTGCTAATGAACCAGTTCAAACTGGTGAAGTCCATCATGTTAATCACTGACATGTTCCACAAATCAGGATAAACTGGACAAATTGGAAATTAACCTGCATCGTCTAACATCTCAACGTGTATTTTTATGCTTTGTGGAGTGGAAATATGACTTATTTGGTTTGGTAGAAAATTATTTATTTATATTTTTAACTAGGCATCGCATACCAGTTCGCCTATCTTTATGTTTTATGTAATAGCCTTATAAAACTCATGGTGATTTGTTAATAGTGTAATTGTCAAAACAATGGAAAACAACCTCACTGGGCACCGTTGCAGCTTTTCCTCTGTGCAAACATCTGTGGAATGACTCTGAGATCAAAGTTTGCAGCTGAATGTTTTTCTTCTCTCAGCTGGCAGAGTTTGACTAGTTCCCTAATAGAGACATTACAGCGTGTACAATCATTCAGTGCTTCACATTTTTCACATTCCGCCTAAATGACACACGTATAAGATACACACACACACACAAAGGTCTCTTCTAGCATTAAAAAAAACTCACATTTTGTTCACCTAAAAGTTAAAATTTTAAATGTGTTTACATACATTTTTTTTTGTGAAATTGCCTTTGTGGTATTTTTAAACCAAAAATAATATAGATAATAGTGTGCAAACAAACAAGATGTATAGTCCTGATTTATGTACAGAATACGAATTAGAGACATGCTTATATGAAACAAAAGTCTTTGTTTCATATAAGGACGAGTACTATTTTTCTTCATTTATTGAGAGACGCAGATTCTAATTTATTAAAGACAAAAGAAAAAGACTGTAACTGGTGAAAGAGGTTGTCCTTTTTTTTAAGTAATATCTTAATTTTGAAATGTTGGAGATGGAGATTTTCCCAATGATCCATAGTAAATGTTGTGTGGATATAAATGTCTTGTTACTTGTAAACCATGTGCAGAATAATCACAGCCACATGCCCGACATAGTTGTAAAAGTCATTCATTCAGACAAATAAAAGTGGACAGGAGCAAGCCACTGTTTCCTCAAATTTGGGAAAATACATTAATTAACCCTTTACATATAGTTGAAATGACCTAATGCTCACTTTAGATAATAGTATAAACAACAGTGTTCAGTGTTACCGCACAAGGACATAAGCTCTCCTTCAAAGTTTGTCACTGACCTGCCTCTCTGTTCTAATGTTGGCCTGCACAGCCGGAGGCACATGCTGCTGCTCTTGTATCCTCTACTGTATCTATGCTTCTATATGCAGTATGCATGTTCGAGGAAGTCGCATGTATGTAGCCTGACTGCTCCGCTGTGGACCCGGTGCCCTGGCAGTACAGTGGCCATGTTGGTGTGGGAGCCTGAGGCCTGCTCCCATACATCCCCGCTCTGGTTTTGTTGATCCTATTGTCTCCTGCGTCACCACACGTCGCCCGGCAAATAAAGGCCGTCTGGCTCCAAGCTTAAATATTGCAGCAAACTAAAAACCAACCATCAGAGCCGATTCATTCACATCTGCTCAGTGGGGCGACAAGGACAGGGCTTTAGGTGGGAAAGAGGGCAGAAAAAAGTTCACTTTTCCCTGCTGGGTGCCAAGAGAACGGGACAGGACTCAACTTTGCCGGAGCCGCAGCTGTGGCAAGTTGCCCATTTGATTTGATTTATTATACATTTCAGGAAAAAGGGACTTTTATTTAGTGATCTCTTTTTTATTGGTTTATTTAGATATACGGCATGTTATAGTCTGATAGCTAAGCAAAAGTAAAAGCTTGTAGTATGCACATTTGTTAACTTTCGTTAGTCCAGTTCACGATGAGAATATGCAGCCATTAGTACAGTTAAATCAATGCCTAGCTTAAAGGTTATTTTCATATTTAAAATTACCAGCAAATTGCTGTTTGTTGTTTACTTTCATCTTTCTGTGTGCGTACATGTAAAGATTTGAACTTTTTCAGGTTTTGAAAACAGAAAAGCACACACAGTACGATCAAATTCTGGCGTACGTTTGATTTTTAAATGTTTGCAAGTTTTTTCCTCTCATGCATAGCTTACTTTTGGCACCCTCTTTTCCCCTCCCCCTGTTGGTCCCTGCCTACCCCACCCTCCCTGTCCATCTGCACCCTTCGTGTCCCTCCCTACCCCACCCTTCATTCTGCAGTGCTACGGACCGATCATGGGTGACTGGAGCTTTCTGGGTAATATTTTAGAGGAAGTCAACGAGCACTCTACGGTGATCGGCCGGGTGTGGCTCACGGTGCTCTTCATCTTTCGCATCCTCATCCTGGGCACAGCAGCAGAGTTTGTGTGGGGCGACGAGCAGTCTGATTATGTGTGCAACACACAGCAGCCTGGATGTGAGAATGTGTGCTATGACGAGGCCTTCCCCATCTCCCACATCCGCCTGTGGGTGCTGCAAATCATCTTTGTGTCCACGCCGTCTCTGGTGTACGTGGGTCACGCTGTCCACCATGTCCACATGGAGGAGAAACGCAAAGAGCGGGAGGAGGCAGAACTTAGCCGGCAACAGGAGCTGAGTGAGGAGCGTCTTCCTCTGGCACCTGACCAGGGAAGCGTCCGCACCACTAAGGAGACCAGTACAAAAGGAAGCAAGAAGTTCAGGCTGGAGGGCACCCTGTTGAGGACCTACATCTGCCACATCATCTTCAAGACACTGTTTGAAGTGGGCTTTGTGGTGGGTCAGTACTTTCTGTATGGCTTCCGCATCTTGCCGTTGTATAAATGCAGCCGCTGGCCCTGCCCCAACACGGTGGACTGCTTTGTGTCTCGCCCCACGGAGAAGACTGTCTTTATCATCTTCATGTTGGCTGTGGCCTGTGTCTCACTGTTCCTAAACTTTGTGGAGATCAGTCACTTGGGCCTGAAGAAGATTCGCTTTGTCTTTCGAAAGCCAGCTCCTGCTCCGGGGCCTTCCCAAGGCGAGGGGTTGGCCCCCCTGCCGCCACAAGGGAAGAGCCTGTCCCCCCTGGCTGTTCCCTCTCTGCAGAGAGCAAAAGGTTACAGGCTGCTGGAGGAGGAGAAAGCTCCCCCCATGACTCACCTCTACCCACTGGCTGAGGTGGGCATGGAGGCTGGCAGAGGGACCCCACCCTTCCAGGGGTTGGAGGAGAAAGCGGATGAAGTGCTGCCCATGGAGGACATCTCTAAGGTGTATGACGAGACTCTGCCCTCCTACGCCCAGACCACTGAGACAGGAGGGGTAACATTACACGAGGAAGAGGCTGAGGAGGTGCAGCCGCCAGAGGTGGAAGCAGAGAGGGTGGATCTGGCTGCAGAAGAGGACATCGAGGTAGAGGAGGCGGTGAATGGGGAGGGGGCAACTCCAGCAGAGGCAGGAACGGAAGCTGCGGAAACGATAGAAGACAACAGGCCGCTGAGCCGACTGAGCAAAGCCAGCAGCAGGGCCAGGTCAGACGATCTCACCGTATGAACCTGTGAGACACCTGCACACACTAAAACGTTCAATGTGAAAGAGAGCAGACACACCTATCTCAAGACAATGCACACTCTTGAACAGGCAGGTCAGAAACCAAATGTATGAAAAACAAAATCAACAGGGACTAAAACCTTTTAGGATTACCAAGTTACAAAAAACCCCAACAAAAACAAAAAACAAAAAAATGTTTGTGATAACTATGAAATATTAAAAAAAAGAGTAGATTAGAAAAACAGGAGTTTTTTTTATTAAGCGTGTTCTTATATTTAAAAATATATTGAAAGGACACATGTGAAGGAGGATGTTTTTACTTGACGATCCTTGTTCAATTTTTAGAAACATCTTTTCTATTGAAAGACTTATAATAGTACATACTAGAGGGATAGACCTTTTTACACAGGGTTTGAGTAGGTAGGGGAAAAGGGGGGTTATAATATACTTGTGTGTCTGCATTTCAGTTCTATTAGGCACCGACTTTCATTCCCATTCAGGCACCACATACTGCAAATGCAGCATGTTGCTGCAAGCCTTGCCAGCGAGAAGGCTCTCGCGTGGAAAATACACCTGACTAAATGTCGGCACATTAACGTGTAGCCTGCAAAGGTCTTTGTGAAGAAGCGGAACAAGTCCATTTTCAGGTTTTAGAAGAGCATTCCTCTTTTGCACATTCAGAGGTTTCAGCTCTATGCAAGGCCTTTAACCCTCACAACACCTCATCCATTGCATCCATGTACACAGGATTCTTTTGAGTAAACAGAGATGTGCATCAGTATTGGAGCGTTTCTCTCTTTTTCATGTTTATATACCAGGTAGCGCAACCAGAGCTGAGTAAGTCCAGAATAAAGAAAAAAGAAAAAAAAAAAAACAGAAAAAAAGAGACCACATGTCGAATGTCTTTTTCAGTCCGCATTTCTTCTTTTTGAGATTTGCTTATGTTGTGTTGCCTTTAAGATCGCTGCGTACTGTGATATCAACAGCCCGTGGAAGAGAGCAGAGCTTATTTTGCCCTATCAGAGAGTGAACTATAGCGGCGACCTCAAACCAAATCCTCTCTTTTCGTGCTATACAAACAAGCGTCCGGCCGATAAAGATCATGCACCATCAGCACAAAGTATTGTTGGAGGCGGGACAATAAAAGAAACCGTGCTCATCAATGAAAACAAGCATCCTTAACCTGGCTGTGGAAAAAAAAATCTTTCTGCGTGATTTTATCCGGGCACAGCAGAGAACATACCCCTTAAGAAAACACAATAGTTGTGATATGCTTATAAATACAGAGCGAAACAACTGTAGGGGAGGGGGGAGTCCAGCTGTACATAATGCCCTATCACGTGCCTAATATTGTACATAGTGTGCAGCTGTTTTTAGTTATTTCACTGTCCACTGCAAACACACATTCTCATTGTGACAACACTAATAATTTAATCCCACAAGCCCACTGTAAACAGAAAATGCCCAGCAGCAGGATCATGCATCTATCTGAGTAAAGGAGACCCATTTCCTCACTATTACAAAGTGTGTTTAAGCCTTAAAATACGCCTTGGATTTATTAAAATCTTCACACTTTTTCTGGCTTTCTTTTTTACTCAAACCAATGCAACTGTAAGACTTCCAGTGCCTTTTTCTGTAAGTGTTAATTATTGTAAGTGGTTATATTGCTACGTAAACTTGATGTTTTACTTCCTTTTTTGTTTTTTATGATTGGTTTCATTTCTTTGTGACCCCTCTGTACACACAAACACCTCCACGTAACATCACGTCTCTGTAATATACCTACGACGATAATATAATGACTTTTATTTTAAACATGTTCAGATATAAGTGCATAAAGCTTCACGTTTGTGGACATTAACCCATTCATGCAAAATGAGCTGATGCTCAATCTGTGCCTCTATGCCACACATGTACATCTCAAAGTGTTGGATTTGGGGGCACGATCCAAGGGCTCCCCTCCATCCCCGATCTGTAGTCACTTCACCTCCCATAATCCAATGTGGCAGAAACTGAGCCTTTAATGAACAGCCAAATTATTAAACACACGTATAACAATGTTTTGATCAAATATGCTGCTGGCTGTTTTGTACATCAATATGCTGGTATTGTATAGTTCTGTGTATTTTAAGACTGTTGCATTGCCTGTATGTTTGTAAGAATACATGATTAATCTTTGGAAAGGAGAAAAAAAAATCCTTTTTACTAACTTGTAGTCTTCTCTGCTGATAGATGTGTGGCTGTATCTTCTTTTGAAAAGTGAACCGACGCAATAAAAAGTCACACGTGGTCAAGACGTGTCGTGTCAGTGTTTCTCTGGGGAGCACGCACCCAGTGACGCACACTGAGTGAAACAAGCTACAACATCAAAACAGAAATAAGAGGAAGAGAGAAACACAGAAGAATTCCAGTCCACCCCCTACACACTATAGATTTAGTAACTGTGTAGGGTGTAGTGGGTAGAGTAGTGGGCGGCGTGGGCTAAAGTTTCAGCTTGTAATATTTGGTGTAACACAGACTTGTACTTTTTCCTTTATACTGACTAAATGAAAATTTAACATGAAAACTCTATTTATTGCAAAAGTTCAAAAGCCTGTTATTCCTCTTTGAGTTTAACTCAGTTCAGATTTTCCAGTTTTATATTATTATTTTGATTTGCCTTTTTTTTTTTTTTATAATAGATCAAAGACATTTGCCAATGCAGAAGCAGAAATATCAAAGTGTGGAAGTGTATATATTAAATAATAAAAAACAACAATGTATTTATCTTTTTCTTCTTCTTTTGGCTGCTCCGTTGAGGGGACACCAGAACAGATCATTTGTCTCTCTCTCACTCTCTCCCTGGCATCCTATCATGTGATCCTCTCCATGTCCTCCATCTTTACATGCATGTACATGCATGCATACATGCTTTAAATGTGGCCTCCCTAGTTTCCTGCCTAACAGCTCCACAGTCCCTATATTCAAAGACCCTACCCCTCTGATTTCTCTTGCTGTGTCCAAACACACCTTCTCCCTCTCCTCCTCTTCCTCGGTCTTTGATCAACAGCGGCACAGCTATCCATGCTGGTCAACAGCACTGGTGGCAATTGCCCTTTCTTGGGGGACTGCATTGGGTTTTGGCCTCCCGTGGAGGTGCTAAAACATAATTATTATAATGCAGAACTTTCTATTTCAGAATGACACTTATTAAAACATTAGGCTGTATCTTACCACTTTATTTTTGCAGATGTTCTGATTAACTAAAATATTTAAAAATGATCAGATGTAGTGGAGATTGTATACGATTGAAATGTAAGTATATAGGAGTATGTTAACGTTGCACTATGGTAAAAATGGCAAATGGCCTGTATTTGTACAGCGCTTTACTAGTCCCTAAGGACCCCAAAGC